GTCACATTAAGCTCATGAATGATCGGGAACAGGTGTTTAACTATAGTTCTGTCCCCCCCTTTTGAAAGTTCAATGTATTATTGCTATCCTTGTATCATTCTTTCTTTCTCTTTTGTGTATGCTCTTCAGGTAACTGCTCTTTTCTGGAATGATACTTGGATCCGATATCTCCAGGCATGGTTCACCATCAGCTTGGCAGCACCTTGTAGCAGACGGCCACGTGTGACCTACCTGCAATGACAGAGTCCGAGCCGGCACCTTCTTGTCTGTCTTTTGGTGGGTTACATGCCACCACGGCATTCCTCATTTTTGTCACTGAGTAATTAAGAATGAAACATCTCATGTACTCTTGCTGGAAGCCTTGAAGGAAAGATGCCAACACACTGCTTTCCCTTCTACCTGACTCTTGCCGGTCCTTCTTTTCCTCCCTGAATCAGGCACATCATGGACCATTCCTTTTATTCTTGCTGATGTTCAAATCCCTTGCGTTATCTATGCATGATGATAAAAATGATTGAAGCCACAGATTCTCCCTTATTTGTAATCTTCATACTTTACCACTTTTCCCCTGTGACTCTTGGGGTCTCACTTGACCAGTCAAGGGATGCATTGGCCCTGCACTTCCCAGGTTGTTTGAGGACACACAACTTTTGGGTGCACAAGCTCAGCTGAATGGCACTTGAGCTTTCATCATTAGAACACACNACAACTTTTGGGTGCACAAGCTCAGCTGAATGGCACTTGAGCTTTCATCATTAGAACACACAATACCTCCTGCTGGCATGTTCCCTATTTCACCTCTAATTTCCAGCCATAAATTTTAGGTGGTTCTGAAACAGTGGTGGTCCCTGGGGCCACCAGAATCTTGTTGCACTCAATCAGTCAAGAGCCGTATAGACTGATCCCCATCAGCTTCAGAAACCTATCATTTCCCCCTGATTTATGAAGGGGAAATATAGACCGAGAAGGTTTGGATTTTCCTTGTTCCTGAAATGACACGCTTAGGTTCCCTAAGGAGAGTAAAATTTCCTGGCTGACTCCCTTAGTGATGACAGGATTATGACTTAGTGCGAGGCTTCTTCCCACACCCGGTTATTACCCACCCAGGCTCCTGTGATGTGAATCAGAGCTGTGGGGTGTGGAGCTCCTGCCTGGCATAGTAAATTTACTACTCCTAGAGAAACTCTCTCTCCTTGTCCTCATTTCTTCTTTCCTCTTTCTCTTTGCAAAGCTAAAATAGTGAGTGTATTGGGACCGAGGTTTCACTTTAACTCTAAATCATAGGCTAAAATAAAACATAAATTAGAAATTACTTGTGAGCCACATAATTTATGTTGGTCGGAGATTGCAAAATCAGTCTTTTTCAGAATATCAGTTGGAGTCCCAAAGTGATGGTAACACAGCAAGACGGACAATCCTGCCGTAGAAGATAGTAGCATTGTGCAAAGCAGAGCTCCCCTGCTTCTTGAAGCACTTCTCATGAGCTTTCTTTTCCTTGAGGGTGGCTTTCTTTTTTACCTTACGTCTTCAATGAGATTAGCATGGGTTACATTACAAAGTCATAGCCAGTCTTTTACAAGCTACCATCTTGGCTGTACGGCACCATAGATTGAGAACCTCTGACTTGAATGAAAAGCAAATGGAAGCAAGCTTTAGACATTGTCTTTTTGCGATTTGTAAAATGGTGTCTCCTTGTCAACTGGATGAAAAAAAAAATAGTTCTTTTTGTAATGTAATGTGCTTGAGTCAGCAGAATGTTGAGAGAGAGAACAGGAGAAATTCATGGGATTCTTTAAAAATGTTTGGTTCGTAATTCCCTCTACCCTTTCTGATTTTGGTTTATCTTTGAGATGAGACTTCAAGTGAAAGTCAAATAGCCAAAGGAAAGGGGTGAGCAGCAAAACCTGGAAACTCTAAACCAGAATCCTGGTAATCCTCAAAAATAGGAGCAAAACCTGGTCACACGTCACTGGAAAGGCACCTGGAAGTGAGCTGCCTGTACTTCCTCACTGCTGAGGGATGCAGTAGCCTTGATCTGCTGGGTGACACCATGGTCAGGCCCTGTGGTCTGGGTGTTTAGGGTCTGTGAGCATCCGGGGGGCACCAGTGGCCCTTTCTCATCAGGGTGCACATGACCGTTTTCATGTTGCACCTTTTTTGCTGTTTGTCTTATGGTGAAATGAAAACACACATGGAAACACTCTGAAAAAGTTCAAATTGTTACAGAAATAGAAAGTT